AACGCGGCCAAAATGCACTGCATCAGTAGCACTGCATCTGCAGATCCGCACCTGATCTGGACCTGATCAGGACCTGATATCATGTGAACAGGCCCTCAGAGATTATATTGAATATATTCTTCCCCAGATTTAAGTTTTCTCATTTTGACTCTGTGGAATAATTGTAATTGTAACAGTATTAACCAATACAATAAAATCATATCCTTATTGCAATGTATATTTATTTTTGCATTGTTTAGTTACTAACTTTTAGATGAAAAAGCATCTCAACTATATGAGAAGGTAAAGTTCCAAATCGAACGATGACATTCTCCTCTTCACAATCTGAAAATGAAAGATTTTTTTTCCTACAAAAAGAATATTCCTGTATACAGACATGTAACATCCTTCTAAGCAAGTCAAATTTAATTCAGCGTTCCTCAAGATCTCAGCGCTTCATCTAAACACATAACCAACAGGTAATTGGTATCGGCGAGTACCTGAGGGAAAGTACTTGTACTTGGTCTTGAAAAAAATGGTATCGGGACATCTCTACAATGAACTGATTTGTTTAAACAGGCATTCAAATAAAAATATTATTAGAATAAAGAATATTGTCAAATTTCTATTTTTTCAAAATATTTATTTCACAGGAGCAGCGATTCTCATTTTAAAGGAGAACTATGTTGTCAGGGCTTTTCCCCATAGTTCTCCTAAGGGTAACGGGAGGACACAAACTAGCGTCCTCTCCCATCACCCTAAGCTTAGTATACCGCGAGCTACAGCTCGTGGTATACTGAGACGCCGCAGCTGAAACGGATCCCGACAAATATGTCTGGATCCACCGAGCTGAGTGAGTGACAGCTGGCTCTGCCTATCTAGAGACAGAGCCAGCTGTGCCCGCCCCCTCCCCCATCCGTTCCGCCAGTCAGCACTGAAGGATCGGACAGGGGAGGGGGGTTAATCCATGCAGTGACAGTCACGGCTCTCTGCAGGGATAGATCGAGAAGTGAGCGAGTGCCAGTATTTGTTCGCTCACTTCCCGATCTATTGAGCCGACCTGGGACAGTTTCATTGACACAGATCGGCTAGAACTATGAGTGATATTCACTCGCCTCATAGTTCTCCTTTAATCATTTTTTATTTCTTTTTTTTTTCCATCCAATAATACACTTTTTCTTCATTTTAATTTGCTTAGCTTCCTAGTGTTTTTTTTTTTTTTTTGCATTAGCTTCCAAAAAATGCACAAAATTTAAAAAGTGTTTAATTTGAAAACAACTTCGAAATGAAGAAATGAGGATTAGCACTTTGATTTGATGGATCCAGAAATGGTCTCTGTTCTATAAATAGGTCATCTGTAAACACGCTTTATTGGTGTTCCCTGCGGTATCAATTTACCTGTCATCTTCAATGTGCATCTGGGACCGAGGAATCCCTCTCTCTCTATATATAATTGAGGGATTCAAGTCAACTGTCTTATCCAGAGCAAGCAAGCTTACATTACATGGCAATGAGGTATGTCATTATGCGTCATTTCATATCATGAAGAACTTTTCAGCCCCACCATGCACAGCAAGGATTCAGTCTATCAATGTATCAATGTGCCCTTCCTGAGTCCATAAAACAATAAAAACTTAATATCAGAAACAACATACAAAAAAACATTTAATTTACATTGTTTTTAGCATCTAGTTTCTACATTGTTTTTAGCATCTAGTTTCTACATTGTTTTTAGCATCTAGTTTCTACATTGTTTTTAGCATCTAGTTTCTACATTGTTTTTAGCATCTAGTTTCTACATTGGTTTTAGCATCTAGTTTTTAGCATAAAAAGAAAAACTTGCTAAACTGGACACTTTTCAACTTTACAAATAAAATCTGCTGCCACGAGAGAGGCGGGTTTACTGCCGACCTGATATCGGTACCTGGTCTCAAATGTGTTTTTCCAAAACGCACTGATCTGAAAAAAAAAAAGTGGGTCACACAACGTCCAGGCTGGGAGATTATTTTTGAAGTCGAAACATCAGACAGAAGCGTATTATGAAGCACCCTGACTTAAAGCGGACCTTTACCCATAGCTTTAAAATAACAGCAAAGACACGTTTGGAAATGTTTAGTAATGACAATCTACAGATACTTCTAGATAATTGCCGGCTTTGTATCTTTGCATACCTTGTTTCTCTTTTCTTCTCCTGTTTTCTCACAGTGGCCATGTTTACTAAGGGCAGATTAATAGCTCTCCTATTACTTCCTGGATTTCTGGCACATGTGACTAGGACATGTGACCATGCACATCCTCTCAGGGGAGCAAAATGCCTTTCCCTGAGATCTTGGGAGATTACAGATGAGATTTCCTAGCAATGCTCTGCTGATGACAAGGCAATCCCAGTGTGCATTGCTTTGGCAGACTGAAGTCATTTTGCCCTTTCAAAGTAGGAAGTGAACGCTCTGCAAGTGTAAGTATTTCACAATCACCTGACATGTCTATGTTATTATTAATCATCATACATAGAGGGGTGCATTGGTAGAATCTGATTCTTGAGTGTAAAGGTCCGCTTTAAGCAGCTATGACACCTATGCAAGAGGAAGAGTAATCAACGGCTCATCCTTTGGATGAACCTCTGCTCAGGTGCACTGTAGTCACATGAAAGGAGATCTGGTCAACAACTACAAATAAATCTGTGTTCCTGTATTGAAGTTTTATCCTGCTCCCAAAAACCATATATACAGTATATATAAAAGTTTGTAAACATATTAAAGATGCCCATAGGATGTACGTCCTCAATGTACTGACACCATTTCACTCAGCCCTGTGAATTATTAACTTCCTGGTGTCACCGCTCTTACAGAGCCTGCCTTCTTAACTACAGCTCAACGTCTGAACAATGTAACATTATCATTGCTTGCTGGAAGCAATGCATGGTGGAAGGGATGTCCAGATACCAGTTCAGATACCAGTGCCGATACTTGGCATTTTCATGAGAACTCCCGGGGTTGCAGCGGTTGCAGCTGTGACCGGGCTCTGGCGCTCCACCACTGTCCTGAAATCATTAGTCTGTATTGTTTTAGAAAAACTGTCACATGACAATAAATAGAAATGTATCAGTACTTGTACTCGCAAAACTGGTATCGGTGCATCACTTATATATGTTTATAAAAACAAAATCGTACATTAAAACAGAGATGTACAAATCCCGGGAGCTCCGTGTGCTCCTTACAAATGACAGCGGCCTCCTAACTTTTGAATGTTTCTCTAGTCTAGTCTTGGAGCTGGAAAAGTATCTGTACTTGTACTTGTACCGAGTACTGTACCTGGTATCGGTGCATCCCTACATGGTGGGATATGTAGTCTTGAGAATGGGGCTTTACAACTCTTTACAACTCTAAATAAAATAAATCAATAAATGTAATGAATGAAATTTCACCTCATTCACAAAGCTAAGGGGAAACTTCCCCCCTGCAAAGTGCAAATTCCTTTGCAAAGTGCACCGCCTATGTGCCTTTAGTTCCCATTGAGTCCCTTATCCAGCCGTCCATGCCTGCATTGCATTGTTTTTAGTCTTCTGAATAAGCTACTTTTTTTGTCTTTACTTGTGTAGCCCCCATCACCTTCAGTTATGTGGCTACTAGACATTTAGTGATTGTCGGGGTTGTAGTCATCCTGGCTGGATTTATAGTGGCAGTTATCTGGTTAATTCCAGGTGTCTGGCATTGCCTGTACCCCCCTGGGCGGAGTGTGACTCTGTCATATTGCGGGACAGCCAATGAAAGGCACTGTGGTGTATGTACAGTACAGCAGCCAATCACTGGGCTTCTCTTAGCCAGTGGTGCATGCTGGGAAAGGGTACATATGCTGGAAGGAATTTGCCATGTGCTCAGATTAGCCAGGACCAGCCATGGAATAGTGCTGGGTGCTGTTCAGCCTGCTCCCCAGGCTAGGCCTGAGGCCTGGTGGTGGGCATGGGCTGGTGCGAGGGAAAGGTTTCCCAACATGGAGGAGGCCTGTGATGCTGATAGAGGGGATCCGCTGCCCCATCTTGGATCCCGGGACCGGCTCCGAGGGCGTCAGGAGGAGGAGGACGGGAGATCAGCTCCTTGCTGATCCCCGTCCGGGCTGTGAATGCAGAAGTGATGTGTGTTACATCACTTCCGCATTCACCTGTCAGTCATCTGGAGAGAAGAAGCTGATAAAGCAGATCTCTGCTTCATCAGCTTCTTTTAGGGTCCATAGGTGATATTAGGGGTCCTAGAGACCCCTAATATCTCCATAAAGAGGACCTGTCAGTGTGCCTTTGCTATTATATAGGGGGTTGTTATCCCCCTATATAATAGCAATAACAATAAGTGCAAAAAAA